GGGATCTCGTTTCTTACATAGCCAATATTCATAACTTCATCTACAAAAATGGTACACACATACAGATAGCATAATTGTAATCAGCAAATCATAACCTCTTCATAGACACCTCACATGACAACCTTTGTACAATATTTGCTGCAAATATATGACAGTGGTTGCAACAATGATCTATACAGTCACAGTTCATGTCAATAACCTCACAGCAACAAATATATCTTTTTGTTTGGTTTTGATCCATGAAGTGTCAATATCTGTCAGATACCAAATCTGAAACTGGATATGACAGCAACTTTACAGGAAGGGAGCTGGTTGGCAGAAGGGGATTATGTGGCTGAGGAAGGAAAAGAGATGTACAGTGGGTGAAGGATTTAGGGATGTGGAAGTGGGTGGAGGGAGGGAATTGGGTAGCAGAACAGTGGTGGGTTGCAGATCCCAGAAGCACCACTGGCTACCCACATTTGACTACAAACTGTCATTCATCACCATACTAATACTCCTATATCCCATTCTGCAATGGCACTTTGGTTATAGAAGCCTGCACCCTTTGTTTACTTAATAAATATCCTTACTACAATTCATAGACTATCAGGGTTGGAAGGGACCTCAGGAGGTCATCTAGTCCAACCTACTGCTCAAAGCAGGACCAATCCCCAGACAGATTTTTGCCCCAGATCCCTAAATGGCCCCCTCAAGGATTGAGCTCACAACTCTGAGTTTAGGAGGCCACTGCTCAAACCACTGAGCTATCCCTCCCCACAATTATGCAATGAACTAAATAAAACTATATATAAAATATTGTCAATTAACAACATAGACAACCCAGCCAGAAAAAACAACTTTGCAAAAATAAAGTCATGCGCTGCTCCACCACTTCTCTCCATCCCTGCTGAACTCATGAACTTCTTGTTTTGCACAACTGTTTTCCTTTAGATAAGTACATCTTTCTGTATCACATTAAATTCTTCAGTTTTTGTCTTTTGCTGCATAAATAACGTCCATATGTTGCAATTTCTGCTGTCAATAATAATCATTTAAAAATAGGATATAAAAGCTTCTCCACCTTCAAGGATCAATCTCTTTGCATAACCAAGGGCAATTGCAGCTCATTTTTTAAAAAGCTTTGTAGCCCCATGAATTGAACAAAAATCATATAGCAAATGTATACATAAATGACCGATTGGGTAACATATGATTCTAGAATATTTCTAGAGCTTTTGACCATAATTTTCTATAAGGACATTAATAATAGATAATGATACTTAGAACTTGTATAGAACTTTTTTTCTAAATATCTTAAAGTCTTTCAAAAAGTTACATATTACTCATATTTTACAGATGAGGAAATGGAGCAACCAAATACCCAAAGATTTTCAAAAATGGATGTCTAAAGTTAGGCTCCGAAGTTCATATTTAGCCATCTAAATAGGTGGCCTGACTGTCAAGAACTGAGCACCCGGTAGTTCCTAGGAGGGGCTCAGCACTTTTGAAAATCAGCCCACTTCTTCACTTAGGCAGGAACTCAGTTTTAAAATTTTAGCCCCAATACACCTCTACCCTGATATAACGCAACCCGATATAACATGAATTTGGATATAACACGGTAAAGCAGTGCTCCGGAGGGGCGGGGCTGCGCACTCCAGTGGATCAAAGCAAGTTCGATATAACGCGGTTTCACCTATAACGTGGTAAGATTTTTTGGCTCCCGAGGACAGCGTTATATCGGGGTAGAGGTGTATTTACTAATTATTCCCACATAGCTAGCACACATCATTGTCCAGTAGGTCACATTCGAACCAGTGCACAGGTGTCCAATGTATTCTTGGAGGGGTTTGAATGATTTCAGCTTAGAATTACAGTAGAACTTAAGAGTTATGAACACCTCAGGAATGGAGGTTGTATGTAACTCTGAAATGTTCGTAATAGTTATAGTTGTTCTTTCAAAAACTTACAACTGAACATTGACTTAATGCAACTTTGAAACTTTATTATGCAGAAGAAAAATGCTGCTTTTAACCATCTTAATTTAAATGAAACAAGTACAGACAGTTTCCTTACCTTGTCAAAAAAAATGTTAACTTTTCCTTTATTTTTTTAGTAGTTTACGTTTAACACAGAACTGTACTGTATTTGGGTTTCGTTTGTTTGTTTGCTTGTTTGTTTTTGTCTCTGCTGCTGCCTGATTGCATACTTCTGGTTCCAAATGAGGTGTGTGATTGACTGGTCAATTCATAACTCAGAGGTTCTATTGTACTAGAACAGGGGTCAGCAACCGGCGGCACGTGGGCGGATTTTTAGTGGCACGCTGCTGCCAGCTGGGGTCCCGGCCACCAGCCCGCTGCCGGCCTGGATTACGGAACCCCAGATCAGCAGCGGGATGAGCTGCTCAGCCCGCTGCCGGTCTGGGGGTCCCAGCCACCGGCCCCTTGCCAGCCGGGGTCTCGGCTGCCGGCCCCCCTCAGCCTGTTGCCAGCCTGGATGGATGGAACCCGGGCCGGCAGCGGGCTGAGCACGGCCAGCGGCCACGACCCTGGCTGGCAGGGGACGACAGACAGAACCCCAGACCAGCAGCGGGATGAGCCACTCAGCCCACTGCCGGTCTGGGGGTCCCGGCCACCGGCCCCTTGCCAGCCGGGGTCCGGTCCAGCGGCCCGGCTCAGCTCGCTGCCAGCCTGGATGGATGGAACCAGGCCGGCAGCGGGCTGAGCGGGGGCAGCGGCCGGGACTCTGGCCGGCAGAGGCCGGCAGACGGAACCCCAGACCGGCAGCGGGATGAGCTGCTCGGCCCACTGCCGGTCTGCAGTTCCGTCTGCCGCCCACGCTGCCAGTCTGGCACGCGAAACCTTTTACTGGGATGCGAAACCTTAAATTAATGAAGAGTTGGCACACCACTTCTCAAAGGTTGCCAACTCCTTTACTAGAACAGTGGTTCTCAAACTGTTGTACTGGTGACCCCTTTCATATAGCAAGCCGCTGTGTGCGCCTCCCCCCCCTTTTAAATTAAAAACACTTCTTTACCTATTTAACACCATTATAAATGCTGGAGGCAAAGTGGGGTTTGGGGTGGAGGCTGACAGCTCGTGACCCCCTCCCCATGTAATAACCTCGTGACCCCGAGGGGTCCTGACCCCCAGTTTGAGAACCCCTGTACTAGAAGATTGTGTAGCATAGCCCTTCATATGTTTATAATTAGTGTCTCCTCTATGTATTCATTTAACTTTCATGTTCTCTAGTTATAATATCATATGATAGGATCATTAATATATCATAGTGTTTTCCTTGCCTGATTTTGAAACTAGCAGGAGCTGTGCATGTTCAGTACCTTTGAAAGCCATGTCACAATTGGTTTGGGGCAGAGACCTTGTCTCATCTTGTTCAGTGGTGCTGTATAAATATTTTACATTTTGTATAGCGTCGTTCCCCCCAAAGGACTGCTAAGTGCCTCTTAGGCAGCACCACTGAAACATAGTCACCCCTAAGGTGGCAAGACAGCAACTATTCTACTTGGCTCACCACAGCAGAGGAGGGAAATTTTGGCCAAGGATACCAGGGAAAACCCCAGTGTTCATATGCCTCTTCCTTTTTTAAAATGTCATGATAGGAGCACTGAATATTTTTGCTCTTGCCAGAGCTGATAACAGGTACTTTTTAGTCTTGAATAAGTGTCAAATCATTAGCATAAATCTGCACAAAGGGCGTGTGTGTGGGGACCTCTATTCATTCCCTCTGAAGCACCTGGCACTGTCCACTGTCTGAAGACAGGATTCTGGGCTAGATGGACCATTGGTCTCACCCAGTATGGACGTTCTTATGGAGTTGGGTGGGAATCCTGGCGCCAGTCAATGCCCAGGGACCACCCAGCACAGGGTGGCAGGGAGGAGCAGGGCTCAGACAGTCCCAGCCTGGGACAGGATTTCTGAGAAAGTCCCCAACAACATAGAGGGGGCCCCCAAACCAGCCAGAGAGAGGGGCACTGGGACACACGGGGTTCCCCTTCCCCATCTCTGGCACCCCTAAACCAGTGGTGCCACAGAGCTGGGGCACCCTCTTCCCTCAGCCAGGCAGAGCTGGGGGTGGTGGTGGTTCCCCAGCTCCTGTGATCACCAAAAGCAGCCCAAGGGTGGGGGCCCCTCATGCAAGGCACTCCCACCACCACCAGACAGCGCGGGGAGCGCCCTGAGATCCCCAAACCATCTCATCCCCGGGGGACCGCCCAACATCAGGTGGGAAGAGAGGGGGCTCTGCCCGCCCAGCGCAGGGGGCTCTGACTCTCTCTCCGTCCAGAGCGCAGGGGCCGAGCAGTGGCCCCCCCCAGTCACACCGGCCCTGCAGCGGGGAGAGGCGGGCAGGCGCGGGGGGCAGGCAGCAGCCGGGGAGGCGGCGCGGGAAGGCAGGGGGGAATCCCCGGCCCCCCAAAGGAGGCGGGGGAGGGGAGCCTGGGCTGCCGGAAAAGAAGGTGGCTTGCAAAATAATAATAAAAAATGCTGCGTCTTCTCAGCAGCCCCGGCGGGGAGGGTAAGTCTCGGGGGGCTCTCCCCTCCAGGGACGGGGGCGGATCCTTGCAGCCCCCTCTACGCGGGCGGCGGCGGGGGGTGTCTCTCGGCTGGGGCGGGGTGGGGGGTTCGCCGCAGCGCTCTTTCCCCTGGTGCAAGGCGGGTGGCCAGGGGCAGCCAGGCGCCAAGGCTTCGTCTCCCTTCGGGGGTGGGGAGCCGGGCCGGGGTGCGGGGGGGGGGGGCGGGGGGCCGCCCCGCGGGGGGGGGGGGCCCCCCCCCCCGCAAACCCCTCCCCACCCCCAAGCGCGTCAGGGGCTGGCTTCTCCCAACCAGGCTGCCCCGTGGGCTGCTCCGGGCTCCCTTCAAACAAACAAACAAACAATTGCCCCAGAGCTAGAGCGGGAGGAGGCAGCACGGCAGCCGGCCAGGGGGGAACGGGCTGCTCGGCGCTTCCCGGCCCGGGAGAGGAGGAGGAGGAGGAGAAGGAGGAAGAAGAGGAGGGAAAGCAGCTGCAATCCTCTCGTCTCCCCTTCCCCTGCCTCAGCGCGGCTCTGCTGATGCTTGGCTCTGCTGGGCTGGTGGAAGGGGCTGGCTGAAGGTAAGGACTGGCACTCTGCGTGCTGAGAAGGGCTCGCTCGCTCTCTTGTATCCAGAGGGGTTGCGAGGAGGAGAGGAGCCCTTCCCACCTGTGCTCCAGTCTCCTAATGTCACCTTGGAAGTTACTTTGTTTGCAGAGTTCCCGTGGTGGCTCCTCAGGGCAGCCTGGGCATTGCACCACCTCTCCTCTGGAGCCAGAGACACTGGGGTGGGGCTGGACCTCGCTGTGCAGTGGCGCTTTGGGGCGGGGAGGCTTTCAGTGTCATTTTCTTCGCCCTATCTTCAAATATCACCAGCCTCCCGTTGCAGAAATCCCCAGATTTCATGCCACTGCCACTTTGTTTGTGCCCTCACGCTTGAGTGGCAAAACGAAGGGGTGGTGGAGGTTGAATTGCTTCCTTTGTGGTGGGAGAGGCTTAGTGACCTTCCAAAGTTTTGTTCCAGCAGGAAACTGTTCTATAAGTTTTTAGGAAATTAGGCTGTTTCTGGTATCATCTATTATGTTAGACGGTTGTGGTTTGGTATACAATCTTATACGTTATATTCTTTTATGGGGGGGGGGAATAGAAAAAATGGACATTTGGAGATTTGGATGTTTAGCTACTTTTAACTTGTGGCTGTATTAATAATTGTATTTTATCTGTTGCAGTTGTAAATAACCTTTATTTACTGAATATAGTATAGTCACTATAAGACATGGTGTATGTGTACATTATATATAAAATTGAATCAGGAAAATAAAACATTGATTTAAATAAATCGGACTAACTCCTAAGGTTTAAAACATTCCATCACTGTTTGGCAAGAAGATCAATAGTTGAAGATGCACTCGCTATACACAATCCTGTCTTCACTATGCCATAGTTAAAAAGGGTCTGCTAATGATTATACTATTAATATTCTTTTCCAACTTCAGTAAAAGTTAAATAAATGTAACAAGTGATTAATTTATAATATGGTCTAAAACTGTTTTTGGTATTCTGGATAAATCAATAACTAATCAAGATTATTAAACTATGAAAGTGGCTACTGCTGACACATACTAACAATATTTCCAAAGGATTTTACTATGTATTTTAAATACAAGTTTGTATTCTAAATTTATGTACCCAAAATAGGCTTTTGACCCCTATGAGAAGAATATATCTTTTGAGACAAGTATTTAAGGGGCCATTATATCCTGCAGTGGAGTACTAGCATGTAATAAGACCCATGAATAATAAACTGTGTTTCATGGTGCCAGACACACTGGCAGTGTGTTGCATGCATAATACTTTTTGAATTGTTATTTTACATATGGATTTTCTTGGCATTCTTATATTTAAGAGATACACTATATATTATAAATGCATTAATTGATGGACACACATTACTTATGCTGTAATTCAGCCATGGATTTATTTGGTATGATCTGGCTTTGCTGTTGTGATTTATCTCAGAGGGAAGAAAATCTTGATTGAGCACCCTTATAATTTTTATCTTTCTGTGAATATACATTATATACACATACACCATTCCCTCATTAGGTTTTATTAGAAGTAGAATAACCATTTTAAAAAATGCCTATATGAGTTCACACATAGAAAAACGCTCATTTCCAAGATATACAAATGTGCTTGATAGATTAGAGCAAATCTATAATACATGTTTTAGAACCATCCATTAAGCTGGGATTTTAAAAATATTTGAAATGGTGTTAGCTTGTAAACATATGAAAATGCAAATACATGTATAAAGTTGACACTCTAGTCTTATTTACGCAGGTTGTGCTTTTTATTTAATTCTGCATGTTCAGTGTGGGAGCTATTGGTATCAATGCAAAGGGGGCTAGAGGTCTGAAAGCACACCACCTTTTTTGACGCTTTAGCCTCTTGAGAGAAATAGTTCCCCTAACAGTGTGGTTTTGTAAGAATATCTATTGTGATTCACTGAGGAGGTTCTCTCAAAAGTCACAAAAATAATTGTCTGCTCCTACTCCTGTGGAAATCATTGGGAACAGAATTGGGCTCTGGATTCCAAATCGGACTTACCTGAGTAGTTCCACTGGATTTGGCCCTCGTATTTCAGTAGAAGATACGGAGTTATGTGAAGAAGTCACTATGAGCACAGTTCTGCAACACTGAAGTCAATAGGAATTTAGCCATTGAATTATACGGGAAAAGGATTAAACCCTCTGATACCAGATTACTATTTAATCCATTTATCAAAACAGTTCTTGTTTTCAGACAGATGAATCAATAATAAATAGTAAAACAAAGAAAAACTATATTCCATTTATCAAAACAGGTCCTGTTTCCAGACAAACAAAACAATAATTAGTGAACAAAGAAAAATAGTGTATAGTGAGAATTTTAATACTCAGAACATTAATAACAATTTTCATCCAAATTATTAGCAATAATAATAAAAAAGAAATCCATAAAGTCAATGTTCCAGACCTTGCTTTGACAGAAGCTAAGGGTGAAGGGCCAAATTCAGAGGCAATATGTAAGGTAGCGTAAGTGAGACTCCCTTACATGTATTGTATTGACATAAAGGAGTCTGAACTGGAAGAGACAGAACGTGATTATTTTAAAGTAGGATGAGGGCTACTTCCATGTTCTGGACCTTACACTGTTAGACTGTGAATGGAATGCACACATGAATAGAGTTGGGTGTAAGGGTGTCTGACTGCGTACAAGGTGATCTTGCACCACCCTACACATTATCTCTGAATTTGATATGGAGTTCTTATGTTAACCCTCAATATTCTGGATTATGTCTATCAGAAATGTTAAGCATTTTTTTGTGCATGTAGGAGAGGGAGTTCTCAACGTTCATTTTCTCCTCTTTATTCCCCGTCAAAAGCCCATGCTTTGGATCTAACGTTCTTCCAGGTAAAATAATTGTGAATTTACTGCTTGTGAAAGGTGATAAGAGTGGAAATGGAGTCCTGCAACTGTTTCTGTGTAGAACAGATACAGTGTGGACAGTAGCAGAACTGTTCTGCTAATTAATATCCAACTGATGCTGCGGGGACCACTTTAGAGGGGTAAAGGAGTTTACTCTTTATGTCTGTTCACTCCTTGCCCTCCTTGTTGAAATTGCCAACAAATGTGCCAGATGTGATATGTTACCAGGAGTTATGTCAGTACTACCAACTAACCCTCGCTATGTCACTTCCAGTCACAGTTAATCTGGAGTGGATTCATTACACTGACTACATGTAAAATGCTTAATTTCCCCATTCAGTCACTGAATTAAATGACTTCAATGGGAACAGGATTGGGCCCTTAATGTTCTTTCAACATACTCTATTGTATTTAATTACATAGGTACTTACTAGAATCAATATGGCAAGGATGGGTCAGGATTTCCATTAAAAATGCCTATTTTCAGGGGTATGGGTCTGTATATTTCAACTGTAAATATTTGCTCTGATTGAAGCTTGTCTTGTATTTTTTTAGCTTATGAATTAATTGTTATTAATAACAAGGATACTGTCAATGGCATAAATATATTTTTAAAAGCTACTTTTTCTTCAGAATTTTTTCTTCCTGACCTCCTACCCCAGTTCCTTTCTATAGACCTAGTCCAACTCCTCTTAAGGTCAATGAAAGTCTTACTATTCAGCTAGAGACTGAATCCAGCAGAGCAGCAGCAGAAGCAGGGGTCAACGGACATTGATATTTTCTACAGTTTTGACAGGATTTTCTCTGCTCTGTGATGATTGGCTGTTTGGTCCAACCTCCTCCAGTTGCTTCACCTCAGTGTTACTCCATGCCTGCCCATCTTACCTTCCATCCCTTCCTTCTTCTCACCTGCTCTGTCCCTATAACCCCTCTCCCTTCCCATGTCTTCTGTGTAACAGCTAATCCCTTCCTAACCACTCCCCTTTCCCCCCACCCAAGTAAAAGAACTAATGTGGCATTGCCGACTAAGCTTTTTGGGGAAGGGACTGTTTACTGCTCTATGTTTGTACAGTGCCTAGCACAATGAGGCCCTGATCTGGGTTGGTTCCTAGGTAGTGCTGTAATAAACATAATAAATAATAATAATACCAGTGAGTTCAGTGGATGCCCAAACACACAAGTTCTGCTTACTGGTTCTACAGCCATAAACTAACAAATTCTTTTCTCAGACTTATATATAGCACCTGATCTTGAGAGTCCTTTCTTACATGAGTAGCCCCATTAACTTCAGTGGGACTTGTCATTCCTCACTTGAGGAAGGGGTTGCGGGATTGGATCCCTACTCAACCATGTTGGTACATAAGGAATATACAAAACAGCCACCTAAATTTCAGCTTCATTTCATAACACTTGTGTATTAGGATTAGAAATCAGTGCCCCAGCTCAGCTTCCTGAGACGCATGCACTGAGGGTTTCCTCCTTGCACAGCTCTCCCCTCTCTGACATGGAAGGCAAGAGGGCTCAGCTGCCTCTGCATCCTCCCCTCTCCCATGGCCCTTATGGAGGGCACCATGTGAATCTGGAGTTTGTTCAGAGGGGAGGGAGCCCAGAAGCTGATACACATTTTGTCCAGCCCAAGGAGGCTACCTGGAGAAGATAACATGGTCTGAGCCCATAATATATTTTCCCTGATAGAAGTCCTGTAGTGCAGCTCCCATGTAAATGCAGGGTCTTTGTACAGATGGCTGTGGCTTCCAGCAGATCCCTGGAGATCTGACAGGTTTGGGGCTGATCCTGTGACTTTTTCTACAGGCATATTCTGCTACCCCAGTCTTTTCACTCCTAATAGGGATGATATGAGAGGGTCTCTGTGGAGATTTCCTCCTTCCAAAGATTTTACCACTGGAGGGGATGACCTGGCTCAATGGTTGATAGGGCAGTGTGCTTTATCTTCAATACAGTCTTATCTTTTACCTATCAGTACAGAGAAATGTTATGTTTTAAAAAAGCATTGTTGATTCATTTTAGATCATTTAAAAAAAAAAATACTGCCAGCACCTTAGGTTATTAACCTGAGCATTTTAAAATTCTACTTTACTTTTCCCCATTT